GTGGCCCTGCCTGCCTCACAGCTACCAGGTGGGGTGTGATGCAGGCGGAGACAGTGGAGTTAAAGGGTTGGGTGCCGCGATGTCTCATGGAGGAGCCCTCAGAGGCTGCTGGCGCCTCCCTGGCCCTCCCCCACACCTCCCTCCGCCCTCCCCAGAGACTTGAGCCAGAGAGCTGGCTCCGGGGAGCGAGAGCTCCACGTACGTGTCCAGGCAGGCAGCCGATGGATGCTCTTGTCCCGGGATCCTCTCTGGACCTGGAGAGAGGGATTGGCCACCTCTGCCCGGTGTCAGAGGGAGCAGCTTGCTCAGCAGCCTGCCTTCTGCCCTGCTCTGCCCTTAGGCGGGAGAGGCGAGCCTGCAGGGAGCAGCTGTCCCCTAAATGTACCTGCTTTCCAGCCCCTTCTTTCCCTGAGTCGTTTCAGAACCCAGAGCAGAGGAAGACCAGTTAAGGAATGAGGCTTGCCTCTCCCCTCACCCTTATTTGGAAGAGCCGGGCAGGTGGGTGTCCCTCAGCTGTGGTCCCATAGACGAGAACCACCCTCCCAATAGTGGCCCTGGGAGCAGAGCTCTTACCCTCCAAGTGTCTCCCTTCCTTTAACAAAGACACGATCTGTCTATTCCCCAGTGAGACATGACCACAAAGAGATGAATAGGGTAGGTCAACTGCTATAACAGATAATCCTGTGACCTCAAGGCTTAATACAAACAACGGTTTATTTTTCATTCATGGGATGGCAGGGATGGGTGAGACGCTCTACACAGTCAGTGAGGGACCCAGGCTCTGGCCTCCTGGTGGCTGCATCTCTCGCAGATGTTGGAGTCCACTGGATGCTGTGCCTCCAGGCAGCAGGTGAGGGGAAAGAGCGTGGGCTGGACCGTCTCTGGCCAGCAGACCCTGGCTTGGGTCTCCTGCTAACCGTGTCCTTCATCCTTCCTAGGGGACGATGGTCCCGTGAGCAGCAGCTCATCTGTGGTCAGGTGGGGAGAGGGCTTTGGCTTCTGAGAGGTGCCGTCTGCTAAATGCAGATGAAGTGAGCCCTGCCCCATCTTACATCACCCCAACTGGGACCCACCAGAAGGGTGTCCCCAGGTGTGATCCCAGAACCCCGTCTTCAGAATCCATCCCTGGATGAGGGCAGGGAATGTCTGTTGAGGGAATGTCTGTTGAAGAAGCAGATTCTGGGGCCCCGTCTCAGACCCAAATGAACTGGCATCCTTTGGAGTGGGGCCCTGGGACCTTCTTCTTAAACAAATTCCCCTGGTGACTCTGTGGTCACTAGAACCACGAGACTAGATGTTATCAGGGGTTCACGTCGTGTCGGTTTTGTTCTTTAATTTTTTTTTTTAATGTTTATTTATTATTGAGAGGCAGACACAGAGTGTGAGCAGGGAAGGGGCAGAGAGAGAGGGAGACACAGAATCTGAAGCAGGCTCCAGGCTCCGAGCTGTCAGCACAGAGCCTGATGCGGGGCTCGAACTCAAAAACTGTGAGATCGTGACCTGAGCTGAAGCCGGACGCTTAACCGACTGAGCCACCCAGATGCCCCTTGTCGGCTTTGTTCTGTCAGCATCTAGCACAGAACCTAGAACAGCCAAACCCTCAGAAAGCTTCCACCCTGAATCTGAAGCCTCAAAACCAAACCTTTTATTACAGAAAAATTCCAAATACATGCAAAAGTAGAGAGAAGGCGTAATGAGACCCCAAATACCCTTCACCCAGATTCAACAGTTACCAACTGCTGGCCAGCCTTGTTCCATGCATGCATGCTTCCTTTCACCCAGTTAGTTTAATCTAAATGTTTATTTTTGAGAGAGAGAGAGAGAGAGCAAGCAGGGGAAGGGCAGAGA